CATACATACTCAATTGATAGTGGTCGGATTTCCTTTACGCATCTTATTTATATAAGGAAGCAAGAACACCCCTCTCATCAAAAATTCACTTATGTATCGTGAGAGTGAGCCGAAGCATTCAAATGTCAAAATGCATTCTAATTTGCTGCTCGTCATCATATTCAGCGTGTTGCTAGTAAGCAATCGTACTGCGTGACACAGGCAGATCGAAAAAGCAATCCTCTTAGCATTATGCAACAGATATGCAGCTGAAAGCTAGATTGGTCCACGCTTCGCAACAAAGATGTGAGTCTTTCATCGCGAACATGGTGCAGTGTAATTTGATGAGATATAAATGTAATTTTTCTTTCCAAAAAGTTGACCCAGGATAAAGCATCTGTGCCACCGCAAGTGTCAAGTTCATTGCTTTTATGGAATCCGGGAATAGTGCGCGACTATTTCAACCTGTGGTAAATCCAAGGTAGAACTTTATGCTGAACCGATCGACTAGTAGTGAATGCGACCACCCACGAAGCAACCATCTTCCAGCGAGGTGCGCCAAGCGCTATGGGTTCGACACTTTACTGCGGCATGCATGTGTTCGTGATGGCAACTGTGCTCGTGCGGTGTAACATACGTCAAAAAATCTTGCTCAAACGAAAATAGAGAACATATAGATTTTTTGCTGACTCAACCCACACAGTGCAATGTTATAGAGCAATGTGATTGCTAACACATTGTTTCCCATGGAACTCCATCCCCAACCCAATGCGCTATTGACAGGCTGCCAAGTACAAGGAGATCTTTTGTAAACAAAAGCCAAATCTCGTTGCTGAACACAATTGCCGCTGCACGAGGTGGAATCTATGGTGTGCGAAAAAATTGCGGAGCAGGTTCGCTTGATGCTGGATGCGATCTACGCTCCACAGCTGACAGTTGTTAGTCGAAATAGCTCCCCAGCAAAATAAAACCCACAGCCTGCTTGTTAGTTTACCACGTTTTCAATAGAACTTCAAGCTTTCTGTGTTGATCACTACTTGCCTGATCCTCAGTCCTATCTTCATCAGCGGGTTGAGCGCTCTTCTCCTCTTCAGCGTCAGCTGTTTCTGCGTTGGCTGGAACTGTGACATAATGGGAGGATATATGCTTAATTCAACGGGATCCGAACTTTTTCCAAATGAGGTACACTACACTGCAGTTGTTACAGAAACTGAGCATATTAGCTTGTTGATGAATTGGTAGATGTAAATCAAGTCGCAGTGCAATAGAAGCATTTGGACCAATAGTGAAGGGATTTTCGGCACCACGTTAAACAAAATGCACCAATGCTGACCATTTTGGGGTAAACTGCCGTTGGCCAGGTGATCCATCTCCACGGTGATCTCTTTCTTAATGAAGATGGCCTCCTCCTCGACGTCGGCGCCAGGAGCCACCTCGTTGTTCTCCACCGGTTGCTCTGCGTCTGACATCTACGGCCAACCTAAACCAATGCTGCTGAGTATGTATATCTGGCCTAGGTAAGTGCAATGAATGTATCGCTCAAGGGCACGAAAGAAATTGTCGCAGCCGCAGTGCGGTGTATGTGTTTGCTGGAAACGACGAAGTTTCCGGTTGGAACATTGATAACGGATCGCTTGCGAGACAGTGCATCAGGCACCTATCCTGTCACACTATGTATGTGGAGATGCTTACGAGTGAAATTTGCATCACACATGTTTTATTTCTGGAAAAGATGATGCCAACATGCAGAGGCTATTGCAGGAATTGAGATTGTGATGCTGAATTGACCATAGCCACTGAACGTAAAATGATGTGGTGATTTGCATGTATATCAGCAGATACATTTCGTAACAGATTTCAAACCAAAGCAATTTGACGAAAATCTTTAGCTAGCAGTTGCTGAGCAGCTGAAGTTGAGCTGAAGCAGCCGCAGCTGGGAAATCCCGTAAGAAATAGTAGACCATTCAATGCATATGATAAGCACAGTGATTTGTAACTCCAATCAAGTGCGGAACCTGTTCTGAAGGGCAGATGGAGTCATGTTTATGAGGGAGAAGAGGCGTGGGTGGAACACATTGAGGCAAGGAGAGAGTGAGTCGGACGAAGTGGAGGCCGGAGAGCCAGAGAGCGAGTAGTTAGAGTGATTGAGCAGCTCGCGCTCGATAGGAAAAACGTGGGATTTCGAGCACTCGCAGTTGCTTTTCTGATCAGAGAACACGACAAATACCAATAAAATTTCTCCGATTACTTTTAACCAAAATCCTTCTCCAGCTGTTGTGATGCATATGTGTTTCCTTTCAGCTTCGCTCATTCTCTGCTAAAGCATAACTAACTAGTTGTATAAATACGAAATGCGTACGGAAAAAGATTCTTCTGTGTTGTTTCACCACTGGACTGTTAGCAGCATGGAGTATCAAAAGGATTTTTTTTTTT